TCAAGCGTGAAGGTGTGCAAGGCCTCAGTTGGTGCAGCACCAGAGAGAGCAAACTCATTAGCACCTAGAGCAGCAGCCTCACCAGCACCTAGAGCAGCAGCCTCACCAGCACCTAGAGCAACAGACTCTATACCTGGGTCGGGCGGCACACATAGATAACAGTCACCCTCAGCACTAGTAGGCAATGCATACATGGCAGCGAGGATAGCATCATAGTCAAGAGCAAAGATATCCACCCTCTTCCTAAGCAGCTCCAGCCAACTGGGGAGCTCAGCCGCGTCGCCAAACTCTGTACGCCAGGCGTCGCTCAGACAGGCGAAGCAGCGGGACTGTGTGTGACCAACTGTCCCGCAAGTCTGACCAGCCCGATCACCTGTGCGAATGACGTACGGGCAGCGATCAGTACTTTGAGACCCTCTACTCTGAGCGTACCACTCACGAAGCTGCTGGGGCGTAAGGGTCTCGCGCGGACGCCGTTGCAGCTGCATCTGGCCACCGCCAGAAACTCTCGACTGACCAGCTCCAGGGCGACTGCCACTACGGCCGCCGCCACAACCCCAACTAGCGTACCACTCACGAAGCTGCTGGGGCGTGAGGGACTCGCGCGGACGTCGCTGGAGCTGCATCTGGCCACCGCCAGAAACTCCCCACCGAACCGCTCCACCGAGAATGCCACTACGGCCGCTGCCACCACTCCCACTACTGCCACCACCGCCGCCACGACTCCCACTGCTACCACGAAGAGACGTCATAGCGGGCAAAGTAAGGAGGTGTGCGACCGGCATGGCAGCACACAAGGAAGGTAGGGCGGCGAGCAGGCTCTAGGGTAGGTCGGTCAGTGAAGGTCGGCGCACGGTTAGTGAAGGGCGGCGCGCGGCCAGAGTGGGGCGGCGCGCTACAAGTAGGGCGGCGCGCGGTCAGAGGAGGGCGTGCGGGCAGGCAAGGGCAGCGCGCGGGCTGCAGAGCGGCGCGCAGGCCCTAGGGTGACGTGATGGGCAGGGCAGGGGCGGCGCGCGGGCCCTAGGGCAACGCGACGGGCAGGGCAAGGGCGGCGTGCTGGCCCTAGGGCAACGCGACGGGCAGGGCAGGGGCGGCGCGCGGGCCCTAGGGCGACGCGACTGGCAAGGCAGGGGTGGCGCGCGGGCCCTAGGGCGACGCGACGGGCAGTGCAGGGGCGGCGCGCGTGCCCTAGGGCGACGCGACGGGCAGGGCAGGGGCGGCGCGCGGGCCCTAGGGCGACGTGACGAGCAGGGCAGGGCAGGGGCGGCGCGCGGGCATTAGGGCGACGCGACGGGCAGGGCAGGGTCGGCGCGCTGGCCCTAGGGCGACGCGACGGGCAGGGCAGGGGCGGCGCGCAGGCCCTAGGGCGATGCGACGGGCAGGGCAGGGCAGGGGCGGCGCACGGGCCCTAGGGCGACGCGACGGGAAGGGCAGGGGCGGCGCGCTGGCCCTAGGGCAACGCGACGGGCAGGGCAGGGGCGCCGTGCGGGCCCTAGGGCGACGCGACGGGCAGGGCAGGGCAGGGGCTGCGCACTGGCCCTAGGGCGACGCTACGGGCAGAGCAGGGGCGGCGTGCTGGCCCTAGGGCGACGCGACGGGCAGGGCAGGGGCGGCGCGCTGGCCCTAGGGGGACGCGATGGGCAGGGCAGGGGCGGCGCGCGAGCCCTAGGGCGACTCGACGGGCAGGGCAGGGGCGGCGCGCGGGCCCTAGGGCAACGCAGGGCAGGGCAGAGCGCGCGCTAGGCAGCGCAACGCAGGGCAGGGCAAGGCAGCGCGGCAGCCAGCAGGGCGGCGCGAGGGCAGGGTAACGCGACTGGTGGGGCAGCGCGACGAACACGGTAGGGCGCTACGGGTAGGGTAACGCGCTACGGGCAGGGAACGATTCGGTGGGCCCTAAAAAAAAACCGGTCCTAGGTCAGGACCTGCTCTGAAACCATGTCAGCATAATGAACGAGAATGAATGAACTAGCAGCATGCAGGAGTACAAGTAGCAAACCCTAATTGGGTTGTACCATATATGGGCTACCCCACTACAGCCTACACAACATGCAGCATATAAGTATGACATTACCTCGACGACATCCTAGTCTACAGTCGCGACAAGCAGCAGCACTTAGCAGATCTGGAAGTAGTGTTTAAAGTTTTAGACGAGAACAGGCTACTGACCAAGGGTTCCAAGTGCGAGTTCTTCCAGGATAGGTTAGAGTTTATGGGGCACGTAATTTCTGAGGTTGGAGTTGAGATCGACCCAAAGAAGCTGGGCACGGTAAAAGCGTGGCACCCCCCGACCAATATCCCGGAGCTGCAGAGTTTTTTAGGGTTCGTTAATTATGTGCGTCGGTTCGTCCCCGACATGACCCGGTTAGCTGCCCCACTGACGGATTTGCTGCGGAAGGGGGTCGCTTTTACGTGGGGGGAGAAAGAGCATGCTGCCTTCTCTGCCCTGAAAAATGTTCTTAGTTCACCACCCTTCCTGCGCATTGCCGACCCACACCGCCCATTCGAAGTGGTTATAAACGCTAACGACACCGCCATCGGAGCCGTACTGCTACATGATTTCGGCAACGGCTTACAGCCCATCGCTTACGAATCACGAAAGTTGCATCCGCCCGAGAAAAAATACCCGATACACGACCGCGAAATGCTCGCGATCGTGCATGCGTTCAAGGTCTGGCGCTGTTACTTGACCGGCGCAGACGTGACAGTACGGACAGACCATAAATCACTACAGTACCTCCGCGCACAGCCCCACCTCAACCCACGACAGGTTCGTTGGCTCGACTTCCTCGAGTCAAAAAAGGGGCATCAAATATCGCCGACGCACTGACCCGCCCCACTGCCCAAATCCACGCCATACTACCCGCCCAGACCAGCCCACTACTCACAGGACTATTTACCCACGGCTACCAAACAGGCCCATTCTTCACCAGAGGAAATTCGCAGCAGTTCGCAGCAGCAAAGGGGGTGTATTACGTAAAAGCCGGCACCGATAGGATGTGGGTACCGGGCTACACCCTACTACGGGAATTACTGCTACAGGAGGCACATGACGGAGTTACCTCAGGACATTTCGGAGTAGAAAAAACACGGCAGCAGCTGCAGCGAGATTATTACTGGCCCGAAATGCTGACCGACGTGCAACGACACGTGGCATCGTGTCCCACCTGCCAACTCATGAAGTCGTCACGACAGCGACCAGCAGGACAGTTACAGCCGATACCACCCCCAGAGCGTACTTGGCAGCAAGTGACGATGGACTTCGTCACGGGGTTACCGGTTGGAAGAAGTGGGAATGACGCGATCCTGGTCGTCGTCGATCGACTGACGAAAATGGCACATTTCGCAGCCTGCAAGAAATCGACCACAGCCGAAGAAACAGCCCGCCTCTTCATCTCCACCGTCGTTCGACTGCACGGGATACCAGCATCGATCATCAGCAATCGCGATACGAAATTCACCAGCAACTTCTGGCGGAACCTGTGGCAGCAGTTCGGCATGAGACTACAGTTCAGCTCATCGTACCACCCCGAAACTGACGAACAGACAGAACGGACAAACAAAACCATGGAGCAATTAATACGAGCCACGTGCGACGACCCGGCAACATGGGAACAGCAGCTGCCACTCATCGAATTCGCATACAACAACTCCACGTCAGCCACGACACATCAGTCACCATTCTACCTCAACTACGGACAGAACCCAATAGTGCACATGACCCCGAATCCCGACAACCCGGTACCACGTGCACAACAGTTCGCGGAAATTTTACAGGAAACACGAACCCGAGCAGCAGACGCAATTATATAATCCAACTTCATCGCTAAACGCAACGCCAATCGCCACCGCTGCCCCGTCACTTACCAACCTGACGACCTGGTATTACTCGACACTCAAAACCTCCGCCTACCCATCACTCCGAAACTCCGCCCCCGATATTGCGGGCCATTTCGCATCAGCCACATGATCACCCCCTTAACCACCCACCTCCTCCTCCCTGCTGACTGGTACGTCAGCCCGTCGTTCCACGTCAGCCTGCTTCGCCCGTATGTCCCATCCATCAGCCAACTGCCTCGCAACCGCCCCACCAGCATGACACAACCGCCGACATAACCAATCATCACGCCCGAAAAAATAATGAGCCACCGATTTCGTGATCCACGTGGAGCACGCTGGATCGAATTTCTGATTTGCTGGAAAGACGGCACGCCCACCGAAGACAACTGGATTCCCTTAGATAGAATCGAGAACCACCCCGTCCTCACCGAGTACCTTTGCAGCCAGAATTTTTAAGATGTACACGCGCTCTCGTAAGGAGGGCCTCCTTGGGGGGGGTAGTGTAAGGAGAATTCCTTTTCCTTACTTCCCGTCCCTGCTCAGCGCGTACACCACTGTTCCCGCCAACAACTCCCAACAGTACACCGTTACCATTCGCGACACTCGCCTCGACTACTGTTCCCGCCACTGCTCACGACGCGACCCAACCTCACAGTTCGGTTGGTAACCCGCGCTCCGGACCTCCGCCTCAACAATTCCCAGCCTCGGCGCTAGGCCCGTAGCGCACCCCATTTTCACACATTACCGTTACCACTTTAGCTTCGCTATATATTCTTCGCTCATGCCTTCGCTCAATGTACTGTTTTGCTTCGATAGTGCAATTCTGGCTCGCTCGCTCAATTGCTCTCGTAACACCTGGTTCGTCAAGGTAGAACCTGGAGGCCCAGCGTTTCCATTCCCCATGTGGCTGCCGAACATTGCCCAGGTACCACGCCCTAAAATCCAACCATCCAAACACTACCTCCTCCACAACCCTCTACGAGCGCCATTCGAACGTCCAATTTCTCATTTCTTCTCTTGCCTTCTCGCCGAGTTGGAAAGCGCCCCCTTACGCTGCAGGTGGAAACCTAGGGCCAGTGTGAGAACCTCCAATAGTCCATATCCAGCATCGCTGCACTCGCACCGCGCCCCCCTCTCGCGCCTCTGCCTCGTCCGTCGCGGCAATGGTGAAGGACGTTAGAGCGCCGGGCTTCCGCGAGAAATGGCGGCAGGACGTGCCGGTGCTGTACGACTGGTTCTTCAACCACCACCTCATGTGGCCCTCGCTCTCCTGCCGGTGCGCTCCCTGCTTTGCGCCTCGCGTGCGCGCCGCTCCGCTGCGCTTCCCTCCCCTCGCTCCGCTCCCCCTCCCGCCTCCCCGCCGCCTGTTTGTTTTGCGATAGCGCGGCTTCCGGCGCCGGCTTTGGCCTGCTGTGAATGACGCCGCGTGGTTTCCGTCTTATTGCTCCCTCCACGCTCCACGCTCCACGCTCCGCGCGCACGGCAGGCGCGCCCCTAATTCCCTGATTGCCATGCGCCTGCCCTTCCTGATGTCCCCCGCGCGCTTCCTCACTCTCGTCGCCCCGCCTGCCATTACCCCTTTCCGCGCGCCATTCGTATCCCCCCTCGCCTCTTCGTACAGCCTCGCGCACCCCCGCCTCTCCTCCGGCCTTTCCGACCCTCGCTGCGGCTGCACCCCTACGCGCTCTTGCGCCGCCCGCTGAACTGTTGATGCCCCTCCCCGCGCCCCTTCCCGCGCCCCTTCCCACGCCCCTTCCCGCGCCCTTCCCGCCTTCCCCCCCCCCCCTCCTCCCTCCCCCCCCCATCCCCCTCCCCCCCACCCCCTCCCGACCGCGCACGGGTGCAGGTGGGGCCCGGTGCGCGCGGAGCACGGCGCGTACAGCGAGCAATACGTTTACATCAGCGAGCAGACCGACGGCACCGCGCCCAACACGCTGCTCCTCGCCAACGTCGCCGTGAGCTGGGAACTGGGTGGGGAGGGCTTCTGGGAGGGAGGGGTGGAGCAGAGGGGGGGGTGGGGGTGGTTTCGTGGCAGCACGCGGAGATCAGGGTTAGTGGGGGCGGAGGTGAGGGCGCATGAGAGGGGGTGTTGCGGTGCAAGAGCGTAGTAGGGTTTGAGGGACGCGGACGGGACGGGGAAGGGGTGTGGTGAACAGCAGTGGGGCAACGAATGAGGCAGTGGCATGAGGCCCGGCACCTACGCTCTTCCTGCTCTTGCCGTGCTGCACGGTGGCGCAAGGAGGGTGGTGACAGGCAAGGCAGCGAGCGTGCTGTGGGAGAGGAGCGCGTGACCTTGCCTCTGCCTCTCCGCGCCCTGCTCGCCAGCTCCCACACTCTGCCAGGAGTGCACACACACAATCCCTTTCCTTGCCACCCCTCCCACCTCTTCCGCCCCTTCCCCCTCTCCCCTCACTCCCCATTCCCCCGTCCCTCCCCCACTCTCCCCCACTTCTCCCTCCTCGCCTCTCGCCTCTCGCCCCTCGCCCCTCGCCCCTCGCCCCTCGCCCCTCGCCCCTCGCCCCTCGCCCCTCGCCCCTCCCCCACCCCCCATCCTCCATCCCCCAGGTGGCGGACAACGATGCAGTAGCGCCGAGTCTGCTAGCAGACTTTGAGGAGGACGACCCGTCGGCGCTGGTGGGAGTGCTGAAGGCGGTGCAGCACCCGGGCGAGGTCAACCGCATCCGCGAGCTGCCGCAGTTCCCACAGATCCTCGCCACGCACACGGACGCGCGGGATGTGTTCATCTGGAACATGGAGTCGCAGGACGACCGCAGGGCCTCCAAGGGGGATGGCGCTGCCTCCGACAAGCCCTCTGTGCCCGACCTGGTGGGGCGCCTCCTCTGTGCCGAGCCACGTTGGCCTATGCGCTCATTGCTCTCGCGGCGCTCCATTAGGCTGCTTGTTTCCCTCGAATTCTTCCTGTTCTGCCCCTATCCTCAACAATTACCACCCCCACTCCCCTTCTAACCCACTACATTCTCCCGTTGTCTCGCCTCCATCCCCCTCCCCTCCCCGCCCCCCCCCCCTCGTCAGGTGCTGCGGGGGCACACGGACGTGGCGCAGTTTGCGCTGGCGACAGCAGCGAGCGACCCCTTTGTGCTGAGCGGGGGCACGGACCGGCACGTGGTGCTGTGGGGCCTGCAGGACCACGTCTCCAAGGCCAGCACCGTGCGCACTGGGGGGGGGGGGGGGGAGGGGTGGGGGAGGGGGAAGGGGTGGGGGAGGGGAGGGGTGGGGCAGGGGGAGGGGGTGGGAGGGGTATGGGGAGGGGGAGTGGGAAGGGGAAGGGTGAAAGAACGAAGGGAGTGGGAGCTGGAAGAAGAGGGGAGGGGGGGTTGGGAAAAGGGGTAGGACGATGCAGGGATTTTGCGTGGTGAAGGGAGGGGTGTGTGTTGCTGCTGTATTGCCACGCCACTTCCACTGACAAACAAACCTGCTGCTTGCTGCCCTGCCGCCACTCCTCTCACCCACTCCCTCCCCTGCGTGCAGGACGATTCATCGGAGCTGGCAGCGCCGGTGCTGCACTGCAGGGAGACGTTCACAGGGCACCGCGCGACGGTGGAGGACGTGCAGTTCAGTCCCAGCGACGCGCGGCTGTTCTGCTCCGTGGGCGACGACTACTGCCTGCTGCTCTGGGACACGCGCCACGGCACCACGCCCGTCAACAAGGCATGCAAACGCGCCAGGAAGGGGAGGACGCGCTGGGTTGCTGGCTGCGCGGTTGGGGGGGGAGGGGGAGAGTGGGGGGAGGAGGAGCAGGAGTGAGGGGGATGGCGTCGTGGTGCTGCATGTTAGACTTAGACGTGCGCAAGGGTCAGGCTGGGACTGGCCTCTTAACCTTTTTTGGAAAAGAACCCAGGGGCCTGGCCCACCTAAGAGGTTAAGACCCGAGCCGCCATGCTCATGGCTGCTTCTTGTCTTGGTGTTTGCAGCGGCATGGTGGTTCGCTCTATGCATTGACCTTCACACCTCTCACTCACACCTTACCCCACCCCGCCCCGTGCCTCCAGCATCCCCCCCCTCCCTCTCTTCACCACTGCCCAAATCCCTCTCACCTCGCTCCCCACAACTATCCCTCTTCTCCTCAGCGTCTCTCTCCCCTCTCTCCCACCCCTCCTCCCTTTTTCCCAGGTGGAGCGAGCACACAATGCGGATCTGCACTGTGTGGACTGGTCGCGCCTGGACGACAACTACGTGCTCACGGGGTCTGCCGACCACTCGGTGCGCCTGTTTGACCGCCGCAAGCTGCCCACGGCGGGGCACTGCACGCCCGTGCACACCTTCAAGCACCACCTCGACGCCGTCACCTGCGTGCAGGTGCGCCCACTGCCATGGGCCCTTGCTGTGTGTGCTGCTGCGTGGTGCGTGTGTGTGCTTGGTGCATGTGCAAAGTTCTGGGATGGCGAGTGCTGAGATCACTCACCTGTCCCTCTCCCTCTTCCCCCCCCACACCTCCCCACTTCTCCCTTCCCCTCTCCCTTTTCCTCGGCGTCTCCCTCTCCCTCTCCCTCTCCCTCGTTCTCTTCCTCTCCCTCCCTATCCCGTTCCTCTCCACCCCCCCATCCCTCGCCGTGCGGCAGTGGCACCCATCAGCGAGGGGGGTGTTTGGCAGTGCGGGGGACGACGGGCTCATCCAGGTCACAGACGCATCGCACATCATGGGGGCAACAGGCGACAAGGCGGGGGGGGGAGGGGCGCAGGGTCGGCAGATGAACATGTTCCAACACCTGGGGCACCGGTGAGTGCCCACACACACGGCTGTGCGGGGACAGGCATGGGCCACAGGGTGGAGAAGGGCGGGATGTGCGTGGGATGGGCGGGTGGGAACTGGACGCTGGGCGAGAGAGGAGGGTGGGTGGTGATGGTGTGTGTGCTCGTGTGCAAATGTGTTGAAGAGGAGGTTTGGGGAGGGTTTGGGCTCGTAGTTCTCGGAATCTCACTTGTGTTATCTGCCGCCCCTCTCTCCCTTCACTGCGTGTGCGGTGAGCAGGGAGAAGGTGTGTGAGTTCCACTGGAACCCCCATCGGCCGTGGACGGTCGTCAGCACATCCATTGACTCGGGCCGGATAGGAGGAGGCACCCTGCAGGTGGGCGTGGTGTGCATGTTACGTGTATACAGAGGCGAGATGCTTGCACATGGTGCAGGTGGTGAGCTGGGCACATGAGAGGGGCTCACTGCACTGCACTGCAGTGCACTTGTGACAAGTCTATTATCCATGCTGGTTGTCCTGTACTCTTCCTGCCCCTCTTCGGTGGTACTGCTGTCTCACAACCTCTTGGCCCTCTTTCATCCCCTGGAACTCCTCGACTTTTCCCGCTTCTCTCACCCGTTTTCCCTCCCTCCCTCTCTCCGTCTGTTCTCTCACCCTCCATCTCTATCAATGTCTTTCTCCCTACACACACACACTCATCCACAACCTCCCCCCCCGCCACACACGCAAACCCATACCCACACCCACACCCACACACCCCCACACACACACCCACACACTCCCACACACACACCCACACACCCCCACACACCCCCCACACACACCCTTATACCCCACCCATGACGTGCGCAACCACACCGATTGCATATGAACACGCCCATGATTGGCTGCTGCATCAGGTGTGGCGTATGCATGACCTTTTCCATCTTCCGGAAGAGGCTGCACAGAAAAAACTCGAAGGCATGATTGGCTCAACTCCAAGCAAGAAATAACTGCTAATGGTAGTGATCTCCTAGTGAGATCCCTTAATCACTAATTTAAAACGAATGTGGTGGTTCTACGGTAGCCATAGTGTGTATCCATCTCTTTCTAGGGAGACACCACCGTCCGCCTTGATAGTAGACCAGGTGGTTTGATAACATCAGTCCCCCAACACCTGGTTTTTTATTAGGCTCAGGCTCTATCTCGTCGTATACTTTGAAGTTCATAGATTGTTGCATGTAGTATAAATCTGCTAAGTAGCTTGTCATTTCTTCATGAACGTGTTGCACGTATTGTCGCACCACTTCCATAGTTTTACATAGTGGCCAATTCCGAGCCTTCTGGCCTGAACAATTCTCGCACATGATTGACATGCATTGTCTAGCTGTTGGGGGCGATAGACGTTATGTAGCGATTGCATGCAGTGCACTGCAGTGAGTCTCATGGATACCTAGCATGTCATGGTGGCTGGCTAGCTTGACAGGTAGGTGTATGAGTGCATTGTCTTCTTCAAGTTGTGCAGGAGTGTTTGCGCCTCTTCAAGAGATAGCTTTCCTTCTGCTACAGCTTCCTCAGCTTTGTTGCGAAGATCCTCCATCATGTCACCGGCGTCATGCTGCACACACATCAAACAATGTGTTGGATCTCATGCCTGTTGGATATTGAAATTCTGATGGATATGGCTATCACAGCTTCAGGAAACAAACCTGAACTGTACGAAGCACTTGGTCGGTGGTCTGGCCCGGGACCACATGTTCTATGCTGTAGCCGCCTCTGTGGAAAATTAACTTCCCATTTGGCTTGGACTGCATGCCATTGCAAGCCTTATTGGAGGATTTTGGCCTTGCACGGACATAAACCACATTGGTGGTCCCAAATAGGTTGTGGGAGCTTCCCATCACCTCCTGCGCAGTACGCGGTGGGGGTGTATGGAATATGTGAAGATATGGAATTATTACATGGAATTTCAGACAAGACCAACAGAATGCTGACAGTGAATAGGGACAGAAAGGTGTATCAAGTTGATACATAAGGGGTTGGGAGAGGAAGCTAAAAGTACCTGATAAGTTCCTGCAAGGAATAGCCCAAGATAATACGGTCGGTTTTCCTCCAGCTCATGCACCGCAATAACTCTCCCAGTTGCATTGGGGTAACCAGGAAAGTGGTCAATCTTGCCATCACTGTCACATGTCAGGTCAGCAAGTGTGGCCTGAACTGCAGGTTCTTCATCCAGTCGGTGGATGGGCATGGTGGGGAAGACCTGGCTGATAGCCCACGAGTCAGGGACAGAGCGGAAGACTGAGAGGTTCACATGGTAAATTGCTGCAAATGATCGTCGAAGAGTCTCCGCATCATCTGCCATCTCACCAGTTTCTCGAGCAAAACGAAGAACCTCATGACAGATGACCTGCTTCAGACAGGAGAAACAACGCAAGAGGGATAAAGCAGGAGCAAGAGAGGGAGAAGCGAGAAGTTGGGAGATACTTAATCACCATCTGAAACTCAATAGTTTAGACAACGATAGCATCAACAGAAGAATCACCTGGTATAGAGAGTCTGCCTGTGCCCTCTGCTCAAGATTTAAACATCCCAGCTTAAACAAAGCAGTTGCCTCCGCCTTGAACTGCTTGGCGTCATGATAGGCCTCCTGGAAATTGGTCTCATCCATTGTCTCGAGAACCTCGTGGAATGTGCGTAGAAGATAAGTCCCTGCTCCATTCTCCAGCCTTCCATGCCTGGCCTTCCTGGGCTTCGGCTTGTCCCCCCCTGTGAATTGCTCGGGAGGCACGACTTGGTCTGCTGAATCTGGACCAAGCATCTGAAAGTTCTGAAGGGCGTGGGACTCGTTGAAGATGTTTGCGCTGAGGACATCAAACACAAGGACTGACTGGTGAGAGGCCAAAGCCCTGCCACTCTCAGTCAAGATTATTGGTTGTTTGACTCCTTTCAGCAAGCAAGCATCAACAACTGCAGCCACCACATCGTTGGCATAGTTCTGGAGATACAGAAACCAATGCAGGTCAGACATGGAGAAGGCAAAAAAAAAAACACGTTGCAGCACATAGATGGCATACCTGCATAGTGTAATTCGTTGAGGCAACAGACGAGCTTCTTGAACCGTCATAATCAATACCTAGACCACCGCCAACATCAATATATCCCTGCATAATGCCCTCACACGATCAGCACAGCGGGGATAAATAAACATGCTGAAACGTTGACGCACACGTGTAACAACGGCCCACCATTTTTGCACCCATCAGAGCAAGTTCACAGTAAAGATGACTGCCTTCCCGCATGGCTTCCTTGATCAGCGAAATTGATGGTATTTGTGAACCAATGTGAAAGTGAAGAAGTTGTAGGCAGTCCAGCATTTCATGCTGCAAAGAAACAAACAAACACGTTAGACCATTCATTTGCAACACTAATATGGCTTAAACAATAGGGCCAACATGACCACCGCCTGTATACCTCTCTGAGAATTTTAACAACCCTCACAATCTCGTTGACGCTCAGTCCAAACTTCGCACGGTCGCCGGAAGTTTCACCCCAGTGGCCATCATGCCGTGTACTTAGCTTGGCCCTGACTCCAATAAGAGGCCGTGCATACAGCCGCTTACTTGCTTCCAGGACCAGAGGAAGTTCTTGCATCTGTTGGGTCGTCATTAAGAAAACCAATCTTAGATCGGGAGCAGGATGCAGCAAACTAACGGTGATGGAAGAATGCAACGCTAGTAACCTGTTCAAGGACAATAACAGAATTGAGTCCAAGCTTCCTTGCAACAAGAGCATTCTCGATGTATTCTTGATCCTGCCAAAGCCAAAGGTGAGCACAACACGGATCCAATGAACTTCATCAATGTTGATACTGCGGGATCGATGGACCTAGCACAACAAGACACAGACAACACACACCACGTTACCTTGTAACCATTGCAGACTAAGATTGAACCATCGTTGTCCTTGAGCTGTGACATCGCGATCAATAGCTCTGGCTTTGAACCAGCCTCCAAGCCAAACTTGATTGGTCGGCCATATTCCACGATATCCTCTAGCAGGCGGCGATCCTGATTGCACTTTACTGGAAAAACGCCTTGAAATGCTCCCTGAAGCACGTGTCGACGCACTTGTTAATGCTAAGCACCACAGTCATCGATGGCGAGCTCGACCTCACAAGTATTTCCGGATTCTAAAAATCAGTAGCTTACCTCACAGCCGAACCGCGCGATGGCCGCATCGAAACAGTTTTGAAGCTCTTGCATACGATTTTGGATAATATCAGGAAACCGAATAACCATTGGTAGCTGGACGTTTCTGCGCTTGAGAGAGTCCACCAGCTCAAAAAGGTCAATGGTTTCCGCACCTGCGAGTCACAACCGCGAAATTCGTGAAGAAGGTGCGAAAAACAGCACCCATGGCATGCATACACCAAATTTTACCGTCATCTGATGCGTCCGGTGAAACAACGACATGACCCTTCTCATTCACGGCAAAGTATGATGCTCCCCAGCCTTCGACCTTATAAAACGCGGCGGAATCTTCCGTGGACCATGATCGTTGCGTTTGAGTGGCAGCCTGATTTGAAGCTCGCACGACAATCGATTTCGAAACTAGGGGACGACACGCAACGGAAACCTTTGAGACACCACGATGACAGGTCGTTCCAACGCGACTCTGCGAGTCGACTGGATAGACACTGCGAGAAAGACGAGGATTTGAGTGGATGGCAGCAGCCATGGATAGGCCTGTGGTGGGTTTGGGTTGCGAAGTTGCAACCGACTCGATATCAACGTCGACTGGCCCAGCGAAGCACTCGACACAGCAAATCTGCTTGTTCCAAGGTCAATGGTTTCCCAAGAGATCGGAAAATTATTACCGTGTTACCTCGGATATAAGCTCACATGCTCTTATAATAAATCAAGCACTCGATACATTTGAAAGGAGGGGTTCAAAATCCTTAGAAATTTGAAAATTTGCCCCAGAGCTGTGAGGCACACAATAAAAACCCCAAACCCCACTGACAAATGTATACTGGAGCGTCCCCTCCCTCGATCGATCCTGCGCAGGATCGAATTTTGGCTCGGTTGGAAAAGGTTCAAAAAGTTGAAAATGAAAAACGCGGGATTTTAATGTGGTGGAGGTTCGATCTTCGTCGCTTTTGCACGATCGATCGACTGAGGGGACGCGCCCTAAGAGTGCAATGGGACGAGGTAGCAAGGATTGCACTAAAGTGTCAAACGGTAACGCGGTGCGTGCGAGCTAGCTGGTGCGATGCTGGCATCGAGTTCGGGCTAGTCCCGATGCGTAGGCCAACTCGGCCAGGCCAGCGATGCATGGTTTGGCAAATGCAACGCGCGAAGGTTGACGAAGCCCCTTTAGCAGTAATGGGCGAACAACGGTTGGTTCTGTACGCGGTGCTGAAGCATGCGGTAAGGAATGTAAGAAAATATATATACATATATATATATATATATATATATATATCCCCCTCAAGAAGCCCCTCCGCTACACGAGTGCGTGTATATCGCGGAAACCCCAGCTTGGCAGGTACACTTGCAGGGCAGGGAGGTTTTCAATGTTGCCAGGGGCACCCAGTTGTCCTCCGTGGGGGTGCGGTCCTTCCAGCGAACGAGGAACTCAATCTCTGAATTCCTGTGGGGTGGCGAATCCAATGGCTCAGATTTTTTTCGGGGTCGACGATCGGCTCCGATGTAGAACGCGTCATTGATGGTGGGCGATGGCGTGGCAGTTGGCCCGTGGTGGCGATTATGGGCGGAGTAAGCTGACGTGGAACGACGAGCTTATGTATTGGTTTGTCAGTAGCAGGAGATGGGCAGTGACTCGGGTGATCATGTGGCTGATTTGGAATGGTCCACAGTAGCGCGGGCGAAGTTTTGGTACGACGGGCAGGCGTAAATTATGCGTGTCGAGCAGTACGTCGTCTCCTGACTCGTACGTCACTGGGCGGCGGTGGCGATCGGCGTTCCTTTTAGCGATAACATTTGCTTTTTTAATTGCGTCTGCTGCGCGTGTCCGGGCAGCTTGCAGAATCTCGGCGAACTGTTGTGCGTGTGGCATTGGGTTGTCCGGGCTCGACGTCATGGGCGCTGTAGGGTTTTGCTCGTAGTTTAGGTAAAACGGTGACTCCTGTGTTGTCGCTGACGTGGCGTTGTTGTAGGCGAACTGGATCAGCGGCAACTGCTGCTCCCAGGTTGTCAGGTCGTCGCACGTGGCACGAATCAGCTGCTCCATGGTCTGGTTCATCCGCTCCGTCTGACCGTCGGTCTCAGGGTGGTACGGCGAGCTGAACTATAGCCGGGTCCCGAACTGCTCCCAAGGTTCCTCCAGAAGTTGCTTGTAAACTTCGCGTCGTGGTCGCTGATAATCGCGGCTGGTATCCCGTGCAGTCCGACGACGGTCGCGACGAACAAGCGAGCGGTTTCTTCGGCTGAGATCGATTTCCTGTACGTAGTGAAGTGGGCCATTTTCGTCAGTCGGTCAACGACAACCATAACCGCGTCGTTACCACCATGGCTCGAAGGTAACCTCGTGACGCAATCCATGGTAACCCGCTGCCAGGCGCGCTCGGGCGGTGGAATCGACTGCAACGGACCCTCCTATTTCTTGCACGAGCTTTTCATCACCTGACACGCGGGGCACGATCTCACGTGGTGCTGTACGTCGGTCAACAGCTCCGGCCAGTAGTAATACCGCTGCACTTGCTGTCGCGTGTTTTCTACCCCAAAATGACCCGAGGTAACTCCGTCGTGTGCGTCCTGCAGTAGTAATTCCCGTAGCAGTGAATATGCTGATACCCAGATGCGGTTGGTGCCTGTTTTTACGTAATATACTCCTTTTGCTTTTGTCAGCAGCTGCGAATTCCCAGTGGTGAAAAATGGGTTGGTGTGGTTTCCGTAGGTGAATAGGCCTGTTAATAGTGGGTTGGTTTGGGCGAGTAGGATAGCGTGAAGTTGGGCAGTGGGGTAAGTGAGGGCGTCAGCGATGTTCGATGCTCCCTTTTTGTATGTGACGGTGTAGTGGAAGTTGGACTCCAGATAGTCCAACCACTGTATCTGTCGCGGATTAAGATTCGGCTGGGCTCGGAGGTACTGTAGTGCACGATGATATGTCCGCACTGTCACGTCGGCTCCTGTCAGGTAGCACGGACGGACCTTGAACGCGTGCGCCAGCATCTCGCGGTCGTGTATCGGATAGTTGCGTTTGGGCTGGTGAAGTTTGCGGGACTCGTACGCGATTGGCTGAAGGCCGTTCCCGAAGTCGTGCAACCGTACTGCTCCCACAACGATGTCACTTGCGTCGATGACGAGCTCGAACGGGCGGTGTGGATCAGCGATGTGAAGTACGGGCGGTGAGCACAAAATATTTTTGAGGGCCGAGAAGGCAGCTTCCTCTTTTTTCCCCCACGTTTACTCAACCCCCTTCCTCAGCAGATTGGTCAACGGGGCAGTCAACGGCGCCATGTCGGGGACGAGCCGTCGCACGTAGTTGACGAACCCCAGAAAACTCTGCAACTCGGTCAAGTTTTTCGGCGCATGCCATGCTTGAATCGTCGCATTTTTTTTCGGGTCTATTTCCACTCCGTTGGCCGAAATAACGTGCCCCAAAAACTCGACTCTGTCCCGTAAAAACTCACACTTAGAGGCTTTGGTCAGTAGGCGGTTTTCACTCAGTATTTTTAAAACTGCTTCGATGTCCTGTAGGTGATGTGTTTTGTCTGGGCTGTAGATCAGTATGTTGTCTAAGTAGACAGTTACGCACTTATCTAAGAGTGGGCGGAAGGCTTTGTTCATGGTCAGTTGGAAAGTGGCGGGGGCGTTGGTCAGTTTGAAGGGCATAACGATGGATTCGAATGAGCCGTAGCGGGTGGGGAAGGCGGTTTTCGGGCAGTCCGGTGGGTTGACTCAGATGTGATGGTAACCCCCTCGAAGGTCGATCTTCGAGAAGACTCGGGCTGTGCGAAGTTGATCGATGAGTTCGTCGCCTCGCGAGATGCGGTAACGGGACTTGATCGTAACCCTGTTCAATGCATAGTAATCTATGCACATGCGAAAACCCCCGTCTTTCTTCGGTGTGAACAGTATCGGTGCTGCGAAAGGTGACACACTCGGGCAAATGAACCTTTTTCTCAAACAGGTAACCCAGCTGCTTCCGTAGTTCGTCCAGTTCGAATTGGGTCAATCGGAACTGTCGCTGTACTGTCGGCTGTGCCGCCGGTTCTAATTATATCATGTGGTCGTGCGGACGCTGAGGTGGCAATCCCTCCGGCAGATCGTCCGGAAAAATCCCGCTGTACTGCATCAGTAGTGCTGCCAAGTCATCCGGTTTCTCGGCGAGCAATTTCAGCAAATCACTAGGTTTGTCTGCTTCCTCGGCTTCCCGGATGTCAACCGCGTACACGCCAGCTCCTGCCGCTACAGCGCGTTTCATCGTAATCGAGTTGACACGCACCGATGAAGACTCAGGCGAGCTCCAGCGAAGTAGGGCGATGTTGTTACCGTTTACTCGCCCAGTGCAGTCGCCCGTCGTCCAGTCAATTCGCGGGTTGTGTCATCGCAACCAATCGTGACCGAGTAAAATATCGGTCCCGTCAAGGGTAGTCGCCAGCATTTCCTGGGTGAAGTTACCCCCGCAGCGGATCCGAACTCTCTCCACGCGTTCCTGTATCGCCAGTGGCGTGCCGTCGACCAGTCGTGCGTCAATCTCAGGTAAGCATCAGTCCAGTGTCAGGTTAAGTCTCCGAAGATCTTAATTAAGTTGTGACTAGCCCCCCCCCGTCTACAAAGATCTTAACTAAGCCGGTGTGGATTTTTCCGCTAAGCAGTATGGGACTGTCCACAGTTGGACCCTCCTTGTTCGGCCGGGTGTGGTCGATTGCGTGAACCGGCACAATCACTCGGTGGGGGTCGGTTGGATCGGGCAAGCGGCGTGACCTGTTAGTAGCGGGCCCGTCTGCTACTTACTCCTAGCGTTTCCCTGCTGCTTGGTCTGTTTCTGCTGCTCGGCTCCCTCCTTTCCCTTAGCGTTTTCTGCTCTTGCGGTGCCCCAGCCGATTGCACGCGAAGCAGCGCCCTTTGAATGGTGCGGCAGCGGCATTCACGGCGACGACGCATATCGTGGCGTGCACGTTAGTCCCACGAATTCGGTGTCCCCACCTGTTGTTGTTGCCGTAGGACCCTGGTCTCGGTCGGTGGAGGAAATCGAGTTTTTCCGCCATGGCGAGAATCTCGTCAATTTTGGTGACGTTGCGGAGCAGGATCTGTTGCGCGATGTCGTTTTTCAAGCCGCCGATATAGCGGTCGATGCGTTCCGCTTTCTGCATATATCCCACCTGCTTGCACAACG